TCCACTTTAATTTAGTTTTGGTTTTGAAATCCCTGTTGGTGGTGCCACCTGCTGGTCTATATGGGGAAGGGCTAAGGAGAAGGGAGTCTGAATTTTATTTTATTTTATTTATTTATTCTTAAGATGAGGTTTCACCATGATGGCCAGGCTGGTCTTGAACTCCTGACCTCAGGTGATCCACCCACCTCGGCCTCCCAAAGTGCTAGGATTACAGGCGTGAGCCACCGCGCCCGGCTAATATTCTTTCCTCAAGAAAAATAAACTCGAAGATATCATTTAGGTTGGTAACTACCAGAAAAAAGTTGGGAAAGGCTATGACCATGAGACCCTTCAAATGAACCATCCGGATCTCAACAAACATTTCTTTATTTTTATTTTATTTTATTTATTTATTTATTTTGAGACGGAGTCTCGCTCTGTCACCCAGGCTGGACTGCAGTAGCACAATCTTGGCTCACTGAGACTTCTGCCTCCTGGGTTCAAGCGATTCTCCTGCCTCAGTTTCCTGAGTAGCTGGGACTACAGGTGCACCACCATGCCCGGCTAATTTTTGTATTTTTTGTAGAGATGGGGTTTCACCATATTGGTCAGGCTGGTCTTGAATGCCTGACCTTGTGATCCGCCTGCCTTGGTCTCCCAAAGTGCTGGGATTATAGGCATGAGCCACTGCGCCCAGTCCAACAAACATTTATTGAGCACCTACTAGTGACCAGGCACTGCTGGTACTGAAAGGAATAGCTTCAGGCAACATTTCTCAAAGTGTAGATCCTCTGCCCATCTGTAACAGAAACACTCTGGGAAACTTTTTAACATCAGGTTTCTGTAATCCACCATAGAGCATCTAATCAGAATCTTGCAATGTGACGTGGAGAATTAGTGTCTTTAAACATGCTCACTAGATTACTTTTTTTTTTTTCGAGATGGAGTTTTGTTCTTGTGGCCCAGGCTGGACTGCGGTGGCGTGATCTTGGCTCACTGCAACCTCCGCCTCCCGGGTTCAAGCAACTCTCCTGCCTCAGCCTCCTGAGTAGCTGGGATTACAGGTGCCCGCTACCATGCCTGGCTAAATTTTTGTATTTTTAGGAGAGACGGGGTTTCATCATGTTGGCCAAGCTGTTCTCAAACTCCTGACCTCAGGTGATCCACCCACCTTGGCCTCCCAAAATGTAGGGATTACAGGTATGAGCCACAATGCCTAGGCCTTGGATTACTCTTATGCAGATTCCAGTTTGAGAAACCCTGCTTTAATGAACTTTAACTGCAATGACTGGTTTTAATGAGACATATCAGCAAGTATAACAACAAGGTTTTATCTCAGAACAAGATTTTAGTCTAGAAGTTCAAGATACATGGGTCCTTGCACGACACAGCAGGGTGCACCTAGGCTATACATCTGTGGCTTCTTAGGGAAGAAGGCATAGACACTGTGTCAAAGTGACCAGGTGCAGTGTAGGTGGAGGCCCTGCAACCACAGTCTTTTAAGAACACATGTGGTGGAATTAAGTATTGTGAGGAATAAGGAAACCCTGGTGCCTTCTTGGGGATTCTCTAGAATTTAGAAAGTCATGAGCAGTTGGCCTCCTCTCCCTTAGAGTGCACTTGAGTATCTGGAAAGTTCTGCACTTTGCCCACATGCATACTAGGCCCTCTGCTTCTGAAATACTCACTCTGTGTGTTCTGGATGGTGTTCAGCAGTGGGTGAACCAAGGTGGTAGCCTGCAGACATGTTTTCAAGCTGAGCTGCTATGGCACTTATATTGGTATCTGCTACAACCTGGGGAAAAAGTGAGAACAAGGAATTTCATTATAAGGAAAGGGGGAATTAGAGAAAGCATGCTATATCCAATGGTCAGTTCTCAGCTCTAATCTTATTCAACTTCTCTGGACCATTTGACACAATGGACTATGAACTATTTTTTCTTTCAAACCTTTTTTTTTTTTTTTTTTTTCCTTTAAGACAGGGTCTTCCTCTATTGCTCAGGCTGGAGTGCAGTGACATGATCTCAGCTCATTAAAGCCTTGACCTTCCAGGCTCAAGTGATCCTCCCACCTCAGCCTCCCAAGTAGCCAGGACCACAGACATGCACCACCAGGCCCAGCTAATTATTGGTATGTTTGTTTTGAGACAGAGTTTCGCTCTCATCACCCAGGTTGGAGTACAATGGCAAAATCTTAGATCACTGCAACTTCTGCCTCCCGGGTTCAAGTGATTCTCATGCCTCAGGCTGCTGAGTAGCCAGGATTACAGGCACCCACTACCATGCCTGGCTAATTTTTTTTTTTTTTTTGAAATGGAGTCTCACTCTGTCCCCAGGCTGGAGTGTAGTGGCGCGATCTCAGTTCACTGCAACCTCCGCCTCCTGGGTTCAAACGATTCTCCTGCCTCATTCTCCCTAGTAGCTGGGACTACCAACATGTGCCACCACACCGAGCTAATTTTTGTATTTTTAGTAGAGATGGAGTTTCACCATGTTCGCCAGGATGGTCTTGATATCTCAACCTTGTGATCTGCCTGCCTTTGTGTCCCAAAGTGCTAGGATTACAGGTGTGAGCCACCATACCTGGCCCTGGGTAATTTTTTTGTATTTGTAGAGATGGAATTTTTGCCATGCTGTTCAGGCTGATCTCCAACGTCTGGGCTCAAGTGATCCACCTGCCTCAGTATCCCAAAGTGCTGGGATTATAGGCATGTGCCTAAAAGTCTGCCTTGCCTCCTTATCCTGAAGTTGTCTTCCACCTCAACTAGTTACCAGAGATACTCTCCAAGAACTCCTTGGTTACCCCTGCTTCGAGGTTATAATTCTCATTGCACAAATACAGAGGGAACTTTGCCTGCCAGCAATTCAAAGCTCGACTTGATTGCAGTTTCAGAATAGGTCAACAGAGGGCGCAGCTGCCTAAACTGCTAAATCAAGCTGCATCTGTTACACTAAGCAGAGCAGAAAAAGAAAGGCAACAGGCCTGCCCCAGAACGCATTTTGGGTGAAGCATCCTATTTTGGGGAGAACATTGCTATGTCCAAGTTACAGAATCTTCTGGAAATACCACTATATGGATATGGAGAATGATTGAATGAATTGGGAAATATTTAGGATAAAAGATTAAAGGAGGAAATGATAGATTTCTCCCTGTCCCCAAAAGCCTCTCCTCTTAACATGAGCCTTCTGCTCTCCTCCACAGCAAGTGTACTGGAAGGGTTAACTTGTCCATGAACTCCTTCATCCTCCCTACTCTTAGAATCCACCATCTTTAGAAACCTACCCCACTCCAGCTTCCATCCCCATCTGCCACCCAAACTTCCATGACCTACACTCTCCTGGCTTTTTTTCTGCGGGGGTCTGTTTCTCCATCTCTGCTCTTTGGCCATTCATCTCTCATGGCTCAGTCCTGGGCCCATTGTCCACTTGCACACTCAGGCTCAAGTGACAGCATTTCATTCCCACAGCTTTACAGTCCAACAACATGCTCACTATCCCAGCTTAGGCCAGGCATGGTGGCTCACGCCTGTAACGCCAGCACTTTGGGAGGTTGAGGTGAGTGGATCACCTGAGGTCAGAAGCTCAAGACCAGTCTGACCAACGTGGTGAAACCTGGTCTCTACTAAAAATATAAAAACAGGCCGGGCATGGTGGCTCATGACTATAATCCCAGCACTTTGGGAGGCTAAGGCGGGCGGATCACGAGGTCAGGAGTTCAAGACCAGACTGGTTAACATAGTGAAACCCTGTCTCTACTAAAAGTACAAAAAATTAGCCAGGTGTGGTGGCACATGCCTGTAATCCCAGCTACTTGGGAGGCTGAGGCAAGAGAATTGCTTGAACCCAGGAGGCGGAGATTGCAGGGAGCCGAGATTGCTCCACTGCACTTCAGCTTGGACGACAGTGCAAGACTCCATCTCGAAAACAAGCAAACAAAAAAAATCATCAAAATTAGCTGGGTGTGGTGGCAGAGGCCTGTAATCCCAGCTACTAAGGAGGCTGAGGCAGGAGAATTGCTTGAACCCAGGAGGCAGAGGTTGCAGTGAATCCAGATTGCACCACTGCACTCCAGCCTGGGGGACAGAGCAAGACCCTGTCTTAAAAAAAAAAAAATCCAGTTTAGTCTGTGATCCCATAGCCAACTTGACATCTGCATTTTAATATCTCAAAGACGTATCAAAATTAACACAATACCCAAACTTGCGATCCAACCATTCATGTCCTTCAATTCACCTCCTTCAAATCACTTTTCGAGTTTTCCTCATTTTAGTAAATGGCACCTCCAGCTGCCCACTTAGAAATCTACTAGGTGAAATAGTGAAAATACTAGTGCACTATCTGGTACCTATCTAACTGGAAAGCATGCTAGGATGCCAGCCACAGAGCTGACCGCTCTGAATATCTGATACTTCCACTCCTGCTTGGCATATGTAATCCATCAAGTCCCCTGGATTCTACCTCCAAAATCCTTCTCAAAACTGTTTACTTTCCATCTACAGGTGTCCATCCTAATTCAGTCCATCATCCAGTGCCTCTTAGCTGGAATCTCTATTGATCCTTGTCTCACCTCCCTCCCACCCGGTAGCCAGTTACCTTTTCTTTTTTTTTTTTTTGAGACAGAGTCTCGCTCTGTTGCCAGGCTGGAGTGCAGTGGCACGATCTCGGCTCACTGCAACCTCCGCCTCCTGGGTTCAAGCAATTCTCCTGCCTCAGCCTCCCGAGTAGCTGGGACTACAGGTGCATGCCACCACACCCAGCTAATTTTTGTATATTTTAGTAGAGACAGGGTTTCACCATGTTGGCCAGGATGATCTTGATCTCTTGACCTAGTGATCCGCCTGCCTCAGCTTCCCAAAGTGCTGGGATTACAGGCGTGAGCCACGATGCCTGGCCTACCATTTCAGATATAAAATGGGTATAGCACTCCCCTGCTTAAAACCTTGCAGTGGTTTCCCTTTGGACTTGGAATAAATTCAGACTCTCTAATTATGCAAATGAAGTTCCCTCCATAGCCTGCTCCTCTAATCCTGTCTCTCTCCACCTTACATTCCACAGTTCTCTCTGCAGGCAGTGAATTCCCCTCATCCCCCCAAATCAGTGTGCCTGGCATCGGTTTAAATGTTGCTTCCCTTCTACAAGCCTGCTTCCACCATCCGTGTTTAATTTCTCCTGTTTTCCTTTCCATAGCACTCTCCAAGTATTTCTCACAAATTATGGTGATTAGCGTCTAGGTGCATGTTAACTGTCTTTCCCACCCAATCACAGGATCTGAGAGGAGCAGGACTGCTTCTCCTGAGCACAGTGCTAATGTGTCTAGCACATAACCATTGCTTAATAATATTTGTGGAGTGAATGAATGAAATCTAAAACTGTCATAAGGAATAGGGATTATGGGACTCAATTTTCTGAATTTCCACAGAGCAGAGTGAGACTGATGGAGGTTACACGGGGATAGGTTTTGGGTGCAGGAGCGGAGACGGTCATCCGAACCCCAGCTCCCAGGCCTGTTTGTTTATTTTTGAGACAGCATTTTGCTCTTGTTGCCCAGGCTGGAGTGCAGTGGCGTGATCTTGGCTCACTGCAACCTCTGCCTCCTGCGTTCAAGCAATTCTCCTGCCTTAGCCTCCTGAGTAGCTTGGATTACAGGCATGCGCCACCATGCATGGCTAATTTTTTGTATTTTTAGTAGGGACAGGGTTTCATCATGTTGGCCAGGCTGGTCTCGAACTCCTGACCTCAGGTGATCCACCTGCCTTGGCCTCCCAAAGCGCAGGGATTACAGGCATGAGCCATCTCGCCCAGCCAGGTTTTGGGTTCTTAAGGGAGAAAAGAAAAGTAACAATGAAGGCAGTTACGGAATGGAATGTCGCAGTTGCTAGGACATGAGCACCTCAGCGAAGCAAGCGTCCAGATAGAGGCTTGAAATTAATCAGTTCAGGATGTAGTGGAGGGGAGTCTTAAGCTTTGTGGGAAATTACATGTGTACTGTCAGCTGACCATGAAACAGGCTGTCCACATAGGGCTGAGGAAGAAAGTCACTAAAATAGTGTTTTTTCTGAGGTATCTTCAAATGCCGAAATGTGACGGCAGCCTGCTCCTTCCTTTACTCGCTCATTTGATCAACATAATGCAGCACCACACAGCTGAATATAAAATGAGCACTTACTTTATGCTCATTTTATTTCATTTTTATTTATTTGTTTATTTTTGAGACAGTCTCACTCTCTTGCCCAGGCTGGAGTGCAGTGGCACAATCTCAGCTCACTGTAACCTCCACCTCCTGGGTTTAGGCAAATTCTTGTGCCTCAGCCTCCCAAGTAGCTGGGATTACAGGTGCATGCCACCTTGCCTGGCTAATTTTTCTATTTTTAGTACAGATAGGATTTTACCATGTTGCCCAGGCTGGTCTTAAACTCCTGGCCTCAAACATCTCGGCCTCCCAAGGTGCTGGGATTACAGGTTTGAACCACTGTGCCTGGCCTTTAAGCTC